AAGCTGCTTCCATCCTGCCTGCCGGACAACTAACCGAGGTGGCCTGCAAGTCCTCTGTAGCTACACAGGCACAGAGCCCAGAGCTTGAATTATAAATGTTCCCAGCTCGAAGCCCACCAGCCCACCAGCCCACCACCTCTCCTCAAGTTCAGGCAGGTCTGTTCACCCTGCTGTGTTTAATTTCAAATTCGTGCACAACAAATGAAGAATGGGAAAGATTTGCTCTCCCAGCTATGCAGAGTTTTCATCTGCAGCCTCTGGTGGCTGCACTCACAGGCTGGTCTTAACACCAACCTTCTCCTAGCCCTCCTAATCCTGACACGTATCCCAGAGACTCTTTCTAGTGGCCTGAGGAGATCTGTTTCTAGTTTCAAGGCACTGTGTGAGCACCAAGTCCCACAGACAGGATTCACTTTCTCCAGTCAAGCATTTACCAGTGAGCTGTGATCTCACATTTCTGCCTGCTTACCTTATCATTCTCCCCAGAAATCAGATCATCTTTTTGTCTCCCAACTACAATTCGATATTGAACAGTAAACATCACAGTGCTACAGCATGCGCGACCCTGTACTTACTCCACGTCAGAGTAAAGAGAGGGTGTGATTCAGCTGAAAGACAGTGCCTTTGGGAAGACAAGAGAAAGATCCTTTGGGAAATGTCCTTGTTTTTATTTTTAGCTTGACGTTCATCACATCTCTAACACACCTTGGCTGATGACTGTGCACACACCTACACATAAATACCCAAATACACGTGTGTATACACACTCACAAACACAAAATGCAAGAAACATTTTTGAGATCTTTAGTCTTTGATTTTATTCTTTTTAGCAAGTGAACTATAGCCTCCATAGTCAAATAAACATCAAAAGAGCAGGGTTTCTTCCTTCTTCAGCGGATGCTAAATACAGGCATCCAGATAAGTAAACAGCAGGAAGCCCTAAGCAGCTCAACAAGAAGGACTCCAGAGAATAGGAGCTTCCGAATGGAGGCTCCAGTTAACAGCAGTGTTCTCAGAATCTCATCTTCAAATTGTGATTCCAAAGGGGAAATCCCTCTGGCCCAGCCTGCACATACAATCAATTCTCCACGTTATTTATGTAAAAATCTGTCCTGTTGAATATTCTGGAGGTAGAAGTGACAGCTTCAAAATGAGATTTGCCAAAGCACCCTCCCCAGCCCCCCACACCCCATCCCCAAATGGGAAGACTCAGCAGAACTTCCTCCTTGGGTCTCTTGATTCATTCTTCATCAGAAGCCAGTGGGAAAGGAGTTAAGCTGAACAAGATTCTGTGCTGCACGAAGCCACTAGCTGAATCGCAGCACAAGGAAAATGAGAGGGGGGGCTTGGACCAGAATGTGTGGGCAAGCATAAGACCTCAGGAGACTCTGAGGAGGCCAGCCACAGAAGATCTGGGAAGAGAAGGTGGACCTAATGCAGTGTCCAGGCGGCAGGGTCTGGGAGACAGCAAGGATCTTCTAAGCAAAGGCTCCTGGGTGACATTACCTGCCGTGGCACGTGCAGTATGCATGTCAAGCACAGTGAGCAGATGAGCCTTGCTTTTGAAAGGGAGGAGAGCAAAGAGGTTTTATTTTACGTGGCTTCTGCAGTGTTAGCCAGATGTGTCCTTCCAGCTCCGGGCACATTCCCAGAGGGGCTCCGATCAAGCATGAAGTACAGCATCGTCTACATACAATGAGCTCACCTGAACCTCTGCTTACCTGTGCCCTGCTAGCCTTGCATGTGTTTATCTGTGGTATCTGTGCACATGTGCACACATATTTGCGTGTGCGTGCGTGTGTGTGTGCGTGCGTGTGTGTGTGTGTGTGTGCACGTGTGTGTGCATATGCGTGGGTGTGGGTGGGCATGGTTAATGTCAGGTATCTCCCTCAGTTGCTCTCCACCGTATTTATTGAGACAGGGTCTCTTGCTGAGCCCAGACCTCACTAATTTGATGAACCAGCTTTCCCTGAGGGTCTCCATCTCTGAGTCCCCAATGCTGGTTTACATGAGGACTGCCACACCTGCCCTGCTTTTAGGTGGTGCCAGGCATCTAAATTCCAGTCCTCACACTTGATGGCAAACACTTTATTCATTCAGGCTCCTTAAAGTATGGGGAGAGGATAAAGAGGTAGGGATGGATCTGGAAGGAGTAGAGGGAAGGAGAAGGGCATGAATGTGATCCAAAAGCTTTGCATGAGATTCTCAAGGAATAAATTAAAATACTACAGTTTAAATCAACTCTGAGATATCATCTCATTCCTGTCAGAATGGCTAAAATCAAAAACACCAATGACACTTTATGCTGGAGAGGATGTGGAGAAAGGGGAACACTCCTCCACTGCTGGTGGGAATGCCAACTCGTACAGCCACTCTGGATATCAGTATGGAGATTCCTCAGGAAAATGGGAATCAGTCTACCACAAGACCCAGCAACTCCACTCTTAGGCATATACCCAAAAGATGCCCATTCATACAACAAGGATGTCTGTTCCACTATGTTCATAGCAGCATTATTTGTAATAGCCAGAACTTGGAAGCAACCTAGATGCCCCTCAACTGAAGAGTGGATAGAGAAAATGTGGTACATTTACACAATGGAGTACTATTCAGCAGAAAAAAAAACAATAGAATCTTGAAATTTGCAGGCAAATGGATGGCACTAGAAGAAACCATCCTGAGTGAGGCAACCCAGTCACAAAAAGACAAACATGGTATGTACTCACTCATATATGGATTTTAGACATGAATCAGAGGAGTGCCAGCATACAATCCCACTGCCAGAGAGTCTGGGAAAAAACCTTCATCCAACGACTGATGGAAGCAGCTAAACACTGTACTGAACTCCTGGAATCCAGTGACAGAAAGGGAGAACTGATGAGCAAAGGGGTTAAGACAGGGCTGGTTTAACCCACAGAAACAGTTGACCTGAGCAAAGGGGAACTCTTGGACCCCAGACTGATAGCTGGGAGGACAGCATGGGACTGACCCAGACCCCCTGAATGTGGGTGTCAGTGAGGAGGCCCCGGTAATCTGTGGGGCCTTGGGTAGTATTTATCCCTGGCATACAAATGGACTTTGGCTGCCCATCCCACAATGAGGAATGCTCTCTCTCAGCCTGGACTCTTGGGGAAAGGCCTAGGCCCTGCCCTGGATGAAATGATGGACTCTGGAGATCTTTCATGGAGGGCCTCATCCTCCCTGGGGACTGGGGGGCCTGGTGAAGGGGGAGCAGGGGAGGAGGGGAGGGAGAGGGAGCTGGGATTGACATGTGAAGCAAGCTTGTTTCTAACTTAAATTTTTTAAAAAAGAAAGAAGAAAAAATTAAAATACTACAGTATTTTTTAAGTATGAAACACAGCATCTTTATTTTTAACTGAACCCTATAAATCATGTGACTGGCTCCTCTCCCTTACTGAGACTGGGCAATCCATCCCTTTCTCTGAGTCCTATTTCCCAAACTAGTGAATACAAACACCCCTCTGCTATCCCTGTCTACGGACACAGCAAGCTTGCTAGGTGTTCCTCCTTGGCCTTCAGATTTGCTTATCCACACAGCATCCTCCAGCTTCTCTGGGATCCCAAGCAAACAAGCAAACAAAAAACTAGCTCAACATTCTCCATCTAGAGGGAAGGCTTCCCCCTCCATCCTACCCCACGAAAATCATTTTCAGAATTCAACAGGGCTACCTGGGAAATAATACATCTGCTGTCAGTTCATCAAGTTCTTACTGAGTAGCTACTATGTACCCAGATTTCAGCTGGGCTGCCCTGGACCCTGAGTACCTACTAGGTACCCAGATTTCAGCTGGGATGCACTGGACCCTGTTTTCCTGGCCACCCACACATCATACTTCCAACCGTTGGGTGTATAGCATGAGTAACCAAAACTAAGAGAAGGACATTTCCCTACAATGAGATAAATCTCACAGGCAATTTGTCCTGAGAAAGCAGAGAAGACCTCAGGAAGAGAGGTAGAACATGCACATGAGACAGCTGGCGGGAGGCTGCAGACCCCGTAAAGACCGTGCTAAGGAGCAGCCACAGGTTTCCTGTCCATCATGAGTGTCATTACTACCGACTGCTCTCCATCCTCTAGAACATCAGTATGGTGGCACATAGTGGGGTGAGTTATCTGCCTCCTTTGGCCTAGACTCTTTTGCCTGAAGGGTTGAGAGTGATCTGAAAGCCCTGAGTATTTGCAAGCACAGGAGTCGAAGCACTTGGAGCCATCTCAAAGGAAGCGTACAAGAATGGCCAGAAGACGGCAGAGTTGAGTGATGAGATGCTGGGTGAGGTGCGGGATCCTGAGGCGAAGCTCTCTTTTCTCCCTCAGCCCTCAGTGAGCCAGGAACCAGAAGGGAGTGGGTCTCAGGGGTTCATCTAGAGATTACGCCAGGTAAAGGCTTATTCCTTAGAATCGGTGAACTGTTAAGTCATGAACGGTAAGAGGGAAATAGCTCCATCCATCTCAAGGGGGAGGCAGAGAACAGAAAAGGTGAGAGAAGTTCCAATCTTCCACAAAAGCTCTAAGCCAGGGCCTTGTGGCATTTCCAAAACTATCCCTTTGTGATAGATGCAAAAATCTCTCATCCACTTTCAGAGCTGTGTAAAAAAAAAAATGAAAGTGGCTTCAATTAAATAAGAGACATAATGGCAGCCAAAGAATGTGTGTGTTGAACTAAGCCTGCTGCTTTACCCCAACTTTCCTACCAAGATTGCATATGTGGATGGAGAGATGGGTGGGTGGGTGGGTGGACAAATAGATGGACAGACATACAGACAGACAAGTGATGGATAGATGAATGCAAGGGTGAGGCAATTAGCTTCTCTTCTGCAGGACTCAAGTTCATTCTGTGCTGTGACTCTAGGCCCCTGAGAGATATGATCTAGAACAAAACGAAGAGAGTGGACCACTCTGGGAGATAGATTGAAGGCTGGTCCCCAAGGAAGACAGACAAGGCTCTATTTTCCAACCTGTTTTGTTTGGGGGTGTTTTGTTTTGTTTTGTTGTGCATGTCTTGGAAATCAGCTGCCTTCCCAGGCCAGAATCCTCTCACCCAGGCAAAGTCCTACCTGTTAGGCAGCCACCAGTTGTGACGAGGCACAGGGCAGCTAGACTGTGCAAAAGATAATTCCAGAGGATCAGGAAACTCAGCAGCATGTCCTGGAGCACCCGGTCCTCCAGCCATCTTAGCAAAGCACGGGAAGCGCTAATTGCCAACCAAGAAGCATCTAGACAAGAAGGATGGAGTCTGAAGCTGTGTTCCGTGATCAGCAATGAGTAGTGCAGGGACACAGAGTCTGGAAAGGAAAAGGAAAATATGCAGTACCAAGGGTGAAGGCTGGGGCTGAATCACTGCTCTCTTTAGATGTTTAGATGACAATAGAGGCGCCTCCTCGGAGCTACAGAGTAGACTGTGCCTAACACTTAAGGCTCACCCTTAGTCTGCCTTCTACCTTCATATCATGTACACCCACACAACCTAGAGTCCATGAGAGAGACAAAGAGACAGACAGACACACACAGAGACAGACAGACAGAGAACATGTCATTTGTCTTTTTTTGTCTGACTTATTTCACTTAATATGATTATCTCCAGTTGCATCTATTTTCCATCAGATGCCACAATGTCATTCTTCTTTACGTCTGAATAAAGGCTATGAGTGTATATTCACAGTCATCATTGACAGGCCTGCCTATAAGTTAAGTTTGCTGCCAATGGAAAGACTGAACAGAAGATGCTAATCGCCTTTCTGGGCTCTAGTGAGAGAGACACCTATGGAGAATGAGAGGTAGACTCCTGACTCAAGGCCTTTGCCATGATCCATTGGTTCAGGGAGGTACCCATGCCATCTCAGCCCTCACGCTACCCATCACCACTGAGACCTGAAAACAGAGCTTTTATTCAAGAGCCTAATGAAGAACTCAACATTCACTTAGGATTTCTGGATCTTCAGGCTCTGAGGTTGGTTCATGGAAACTTCTGTTGTCGGTCTTTCCTCGAGGATGCACAGTGGAATGGAATCAACCTGTGCTTATGAGGGCATCCTCACACTACCTCTGGCTTTCTCTACCTCCGTTCCCATCCTCCCTTCATACTGTCAGACAGAAAACATTTTGGGAAGGTCTGCACTTGAGCCCTTCTCTAACTCCACGCTGGTAGGACACTTCATTGTCTTGTCATCTCAGCTCTGGAAGCCTCATTTTTGTTTGTTTGTTTGTTTGTTTTTGTTTTTCAAGACAGGGTTTCTCTATATAGCTTTGGAGCCTGTCCTAGCACTCGGTCTGTAGACCAGGCTGGCCTGGAACTCACAGAGATCCACCTGCCTCTGCCTCCCGAATGCTGGGATTAAAGCATGACTTAAGAACATGTCAAACTCTTAAGGAAATAGCTCCCGGCCTTAGCAGGGCCTGTCCCTGCTGATAACATAACACACCTGAGCCTTGCAATGTAGAACCCTTTGCCCCTCAGGATTCCAGTCAGGGAGTTTTGTGCCATCAATGACATGGTTGGTCTTGACATTTTCTGAGACTTTGCCATGTGTAAAATGACACAATTCAGTAACAAAGGGACATTTCCCCCAACTCCTCTGTTTGGGTGAGGTAATCAGTACCGTAGGTGGTAATTAGACTTTGCCAGGAATAGTGGAGACCTTCAAACTCTGCCTCTAGGTTTCTGTCTGCTTCTTCTTTCCCTCCCCACTCTCACACACCAAAGTGCTTCCCAGCAAATGCTTTGGAAAGGTCTTCATTTGGGTCTCTTTTCTCTAACTTCACCCTGGTCTTCTGCCTCCTACTTCTTCCTCCAGTGCTGCTTCTCCTGGACCCTGAGAGCAGGACACCTGATCTTAGGGAAGGAACTGAAGGTGACGCACACAGAAAGAGTAAGCAGGCAACAGAGTTCACTCCATGGCTCGCTTTGGCATAATGCAGGACTGAAGGACCCCTTGAGTAGTTACCAATCCTTCCTTAAGGCACGGCCCCCAGCCAGAGATCCATGTCAAGCCCAAACTCTCTCCAGGTTCTCTACTTGGGGCTGTGCTCAGATCTGAAGCAATAAGCACCAAAGAACCTCTTGCTTCTGAATCTAATGTTACTGCAACGCCTAACTAGGTATATGAGGGGAACACTGGGCTGGCTTAAGAGATCTACTGAAGGTGTGGTAAGCACTCCCTGAGTGTACACTAAGCAGCTCTCATAGAACACTTGGAGTATTATTCCCTCTCCTAGGCAGCTAATCCCCTTCAACCACAGGAGTGTTGATTGCCTTGTATGCTAACAAGGAGACGTCAGAAGAAGAGAAAGCAATCCAGTCTTGAATGCTAGCTCAAGTACCACATGCCACGTGGCTTACTTTAATATAGTTTCCTAAGTGAAAGCAACTTGTGTCTACTTGGCTGTGGTTATGTCATGAAATTCTGCCAAATATTGTGAGCTTTTAAGCACAGAAAGAAAGCCATTATGTGATTGTTAGAACAGTCATTCTGGTGAAATATGTCATTAAGAGTTTTAATTTAGGGAAGATCCTCTTTTTTTGCAAGACGGTCTCTGCTATTGACTTGAATGATCTGCTTTATCATCAGTGTTTCCATGACTCAAGCCAGAAGAGCAAGTCATAAAACCATGTGATGCTTACACTTTCTAGATACAAGTAATTTGGAACACAGTCTGTCTCCTCAGCAACTTGCAAATTGTTCGGCCTACAGAACATCATATCTATTTGAAGAACAGCATATGAGGCTTTCGGTGACAGTCTAGGTATTGGCAAGTATCAAGTAGGCTGGCATAAAGTCCCCATTCCAGAAACCTGGCTCCAGAAATGTCTGCATGGTTCACCAGGCCATGAACTGTGAGCACATATTCCACATAAAATCTCTCCACAGTGTGACTCCAGGATTCTTCTAAGCCCTGTTGCTAGGATGCCATGATCTGAATAAGTGTCCACCAAAGATTGCTGACTTTAAAGGCCTTATCCAGAGTTTCTAGTGGCACTGCTGAGAAATGGTAGAACCCATAAGAGGTGAGTCCTGGGGCATGATGGTAGAAAGAAGGAATCTAGCAGAAACACCAAGTCGCAGAAGGACACACAAGTGCCCCGCCCCCAGGAGGATCTCTTCATGGAAAGGGTTGCACTTCTCCTTGATCCCTGACTCAAAATGAGAAGCAGTTGTAATCTCTGGGTGTCTACGTGGTATGGAAAGATGGAGGGAGGAGCCTGAATGGTCGACAGAGCAGTGATCTGGGACAACAGACCTAATCTCTGCAAGCTTGGAAGATGCAGGTGAAAGTCGTACCCGATTCTTTGGGGACAACATTGACAATTCTTACTGATCAGATTTAGAATAACACAGACGCTTCAGGAATGCACATCTCTGAGGGTGTTTCCGGAGAGGAGTAACTAAGGGAGGAGGGAAGGAGACTCCATATCTCAGAGGCTAAGGAAAAGGAAGTAACAACAGGGTAGAGGAGAAAGCGGGCTTACACAGGTATTCCACATCTGCTCGATGACTTCCATGAGGAAGCTTCTTCACCACACACTCCTGTCACCATGACTCTCATCAGGTGTCACCATGGTGCTCTGCCCAAAAACACAGAGCCAACAACTAGGGACGGAAAGTGCTGAAGCCCTGAGCAGAAATGCAAAACTCCTCTCTTGGAGTTGGTTCTATGAATGTTTTGGTCACTGAGATGAAGATGTAACTAGCATGGGATCTGGTTACCAAAAAAAAAAGCCAAGTTTGTTTTGTTTTCCTAGCCAAGTTTGCTGACTTTGTAAACAGTCAGCAAAGTGTGGCTCTTAAATTTTTATTAAATAGACCAAAGCGCCTATACAGAGACACACTATAAATCTCGAAAGTTCTTTTCCATATTTTTTATGGCTGCTGTTCTCTAATAAAACATGACATTGTGGTTTTGTTTATTTTAGCATATTATAGTTCTGATAAAGCCCCAAATCCTTACATCAAATACATTCTTCAATGTCAAAAGGGCATGCAAAGAAATGTTTCCTAATGAAAGATTTATCTTTTATCTGACAGCTATGATTTAGCTGGTGCTGATCTCTCTATCCTCTTTTCCATTTAAAAAAAAAGTTGGGCAAAATTACCTTTCTTAGAATAACAGCCCCTTTAAAATCCTGACTACTTTGTCATTACGCCTGCAATCTCCCTTGGAGATCATGGGCTATTCATTTTCTCCCTGACTCCAATTTGCCTTTTGATATTTTTCTTTGGTCTGTTCAAACAGTCCCCCAATTGCCCAGCTCATCAGAGCGAGGCCTGATCGTGCACTGTAGCCCAGTGACACGGTGTGTCGCCCCGCGCTCCACCAGTTCTGAGCCTCTCTGCACACTGCAGAGGGGCTTTGAAAATGGTCTAAGCTCTCCTCGTTAAAGTTTTCTCTAGCTCTTATCCCCGTGAGATCTTTTATCTACATATCATGTCAAAGGCTGTAGTTTCATACTCAAAGAGAGAGTATAGTGACTGAGAGAAAGGAAGGAAGGAAGGAAGGAAGGAAGGAAGGAAGGAAGGAAGGAAGGAAGGAAGGAAGGAAGGAAGGAAGGAAGGAAGGAAGAGAGAATGTGATACATGATAAAAGAAATGTCTGGATGTATGAACTAGTTACATATAGGCATTTGAGACTCATCGCGCAGCTGTGCAAAGGATGTCTGCATAAAACCTGAATACACGACAAAGGAGCCTGAAATGCCTACATAGGTCTACAGTGGGTTCCTTTCCCCATAGAAGCTGTAAGCCTTTGGGTTCAAAGCAGCCCAGCCGGAGTGCTTAGCAGTTTCTGTGGGATGTTAACTTGAACCAAGGGTAGATGTTTTCTTGCTGCTTGTTTCGTTATGTTCCATTGGTGTCCTTAGGATTGTTTCTCTTTCCTTCCCTCTGTGTGGTTTCACCTCCGAGCCTGGGAAACCTTGGCAAGGCTGCCATTCAGAAGCAGCACAGAACAGATCAGATTCCCAGATACCTCCCGACTTTGCTTGCACAGGCCGGAAAGAAATGTCTTCCTAACAGCATTTCATCGATAGTGTGGATGCAGACACACTTGCTCAGTGCCTGCTGGATTCCGAATGCACAACCACATCCCAGCACATCCCAACTCATTAGGGACAAGCAAGCTGGGCACAGCTCACACCCCAGGAAGGTGGGCTGTGCTACAGCCCTGCAGTCAGGCTGGGATCCGCACGCCAGCTGAGCTGGCTTTCCTTTTCTTTTAAGCTATATTGATCTCAGGAAGAACTGAAAGCCTGTGGAAAAAGTGTGGGAATCAGCTCAACATACTAATTTAT